TTTTTATATACAAAGTTTTAAAATATGCTACTTGGGTTTTAAATTCTCTAAATTCAGAGTTATTGGCTATATATTCTTTTCTGATTAAATTATTTTTAATACGGAATACAAAGTTTTTCCAATAGTTCTTATCTTTTATTTCATATTCTGGCATAAATAAATGTCTATGTATATATTTGGGTAGATAATACTTCGCAAATCATAGCCAAGCTTCTGGTGTTTTTAAATTACTAATATAGTTTAAGCCATATTCAGATAACATGTATCGAGTATAACTATTTTTTTCCCATTCCTCAAAAATATCTTGAATATTAGACATGTTTATATTTCAAACACATGGATTTTATTAACTAAGACTTTTATTTAATAAGAATTTCACATAGTATCTTAATTTTATATTTCAACTTTTCAAGTTTGAAAAGTATTTTACAAATATTTTTTATTTTAAAGAAAAAAATAATATATAATAGCTATATAAGCATCTGGATCACTGCCATGATCTAGACTCTATGATTTTGGTTGCAAAGAAGACAAGTGAGATATACGTTTCCTTTAATATGCCCTAAACTATTGTGGATTCGATCTACTGTCCACTGGGATATCTCTCCTGGCCAATCCCATTCAAATTTCATTTCAATAAGACATAATGCACATTTGTCTTCTTGAATATGTTTTAATGTAAGGATATAGTTGACTGTTAGATCAAATTCATGGCCTTTTTCTTTATTCTGGCCCATATATCCGATAAGTTTTTTCTGAATAGACAGCTTCAATTCGTGTTCTAGCCATTTTTTCTTTTTGGCTTCTCAATCTCTTGGGCAATTTCAGAAGGTAATAGAGGTGCTTCAACCCAAATGAGTTGGCTTAAATATTCTACACGACCAACTGCCAAATATATTAGATTATCCCAGACTAGGTTTTCATCAATGACCCAAACACATTGTGGTAATTTAAGAATATTCCTTGACTAGTATGAATGGTCATTGCATATCTGAGTTCCCAATCTATGACTTTTTTATCTACTAATATATCTTTTAAGAACTTGTCAGGAAGTGTATTTAAGGGCAAATATACTATA